GAAAGAGTGGCAGGAAAAGAAGGAGAAATGATGGAGATCTACAGAAACAGAGTGTCATGGATGGAGGAGGTGATGAGAAAACAGCTCTCCACTGCCTCTTCTGGAAGAGCACTAGGGAGCGGGCAATGAAACCAGCAGGCATAATTTTTAAACAACAGGCTGATGAGCTGTAGAATTAAAGTTTCCAAAAGTTTTTAAAAGTGAATACAGACAAATTCATGAAAGAAAGCTCCAACACAGGCTGTCCAAGACAGAGATACCGCCTCCTGTTGGGCAAGTCCCCAAGCCACTGCTGAAGTGTCCCCTTCTGCTTCTGCACTCCTCCAGCACTCAGCTGTGGTCCCCTGGCTGGAAGAACCTCTGCTCTGATCCGCTACAGCTGCTGTTACGTTCTTAGGGACAAGTCTTGCTCTCCCCTTTTGTGTTGCTCCAGTGAGTGCTGCCTTTACCCAGAGAGTTTTCCATCCGAGGAAATGGAAGGAGAACTCTAAGGCTCCCAACAGCTGTCCCTTGAAGTGGCAAGAGCAGCCTAAAATTGCTCCAGGTCCATTAAGCTCCAGCGATCCAGTTCCTCCTCACAAACACACAGCAACAGCTCTATCAAGTACCTCTGCTATTTAGTGCTCTTTGGTTTTATACAGTATTTTACAAGAAGAATTATTGCTGAATAAAATTATGTTACGTTAACAGACTGCAACATGACTTGAAAAGAAAAGTCTTACCCCTGGAATGACTACAGTCCCAACTCCATTCTTCAGTTTTGATCTACCTCTGCCACCTCTTCCTGAGAGACCTGCACCACGCGGCCTCCGCTTCCCTGGGAATCCTGATCCACGGCCCTGTTCAACACAAGATAACGATTTAAGTGCAACCTGGAGTTCTTCTGTTAATTGGGATTCAAACTTGTTCAATGCATTTAGGGAAAAACATACGGAAAAACCACTCTATGATTTCAAGTGAAAACGAGCACATTAGGCCATAGTCATTAAGTCACTACACAAACCATTGTGAAATACCTTAAACTAATTACACCACATAATATTATCACCTTTATCACCAGTGAGAAAGCAGCCCAAACCAGAAATGTTTATTTTCTGCTCAGGAATAACTGGAAATGTAATTTTTTTTCACAGTTGCAAAGTATTCAAAATAAATATCCTCTGTTCCATAATTCATTTTTCTTTTCTTTTTCAACAGTCAGCTCAGACAGACACAGGACTGCTGAATAAGGCCTGGACACTTGACTACTTGCAGTCATGGATGCCTTCTTATGTTACACATAATCAAATGAACACTGGAATTTATTGGGACTCAATCCTGCTCCCAAAGCAAAGCAGGAGCTGGTTCCACCAAACTCTCTTAATTCAGCAGATACAGAGAGAGCTTTTTTTGTTAATTAAACCAATTACGCTCAGATCAAAGATAATATGACATTTTTCTTACAAAATATCCACTTTTTTTCAGACAGCTTCTTTTCCCCCCTTCTTTTAGACACAGACGCACACTTGCAGTGTTGTGTGCTCTGGAGTATTCACAGCACGTTCAACTACTATTAACTGCAAGTATGTTTTCAATAGCAATTATCCAATTTTAATACTCTGATTTAGTTTGAATTTCATGGTGTTTGGGGATTTTTTTTTTATTTTATAATGAATTAAACACAAAGAGGATCCTTAATCCTCACTAATATTTTTCCAGAGAGAGAAAGAACACAGTGACAGTGTCTCTGACTTTTGGCTGGGATATCAGACACCTGTATAACATGTTTCAGAGTCTCTGATCTGTATAAGCAATGACAATTATGGTATATACTCAAATAAGCACCTTTCCTACTACAAAATAAGCAATGAGATTATTTATTGCATTTCAAATTTGTGAATAATCTTGGCTCCTAATACAGCCCGACTCCATCCACAGAGTAACGAGATACGGTGTCTGTGGCCAAACATTTGCTGGGAACTACTTTTAATAGCAAGACAAAACATTTGCTCAATAAAACAATGCTGACAGAACCACAAAGCTCCCTGGGGACGGTGTGGCCAACAGACAGGAACGGTCTCCAGTGATGGAGACGGGAGGTCCCCGGATGGAGAGCAGCACCATGGGCTCCACTTTAGCAACAGCATTTTTCAAATGTGCCAACTCCTGTTTCAAAGAAGATTTAGAAGTTGACAGTCGTAATTAAAGGGAGAATCCAAGCACTCAGTGTTAAAATTGTATTAACATCCATCTATGAATGGAAAGAGAAATTAAATCGCCTTACTCTTACACAACAAGGTAATGTAACACAATGCTGGTTTAGGAAATGAAGGAAGGATGCTACTGATGACTGAAGTATTTATATGTACTAAGGTGAAGCAAATGTCCTTACATAGACATGGAGTTAATACATAAACACACACAGGACATACAAGCATCAATTTTTTAAGATGTAGGCTCTTCTGGCACATTTCTTATTTTGCCTGTTTCAGACCAGGTATCAGTATTGTTATTTTCACACAGTAACAGGAATAAGCACGTACTTGTATCAATGTTAATGCTGAATATTAAGCTGAAAATTAATGCTTGAAGCAGCAAAAGCTAAGCTAATGTCAAATTAAAATAAAATTAGCATGACAGTTAAAGTGAGATGAAAATAATCATTGGGAAGCTATAGAGTTTTGTCGTTTTGTCAGAGTTTTCTAATTTTGATTTTTGGTAGTTACTTTTAATAATTCCACTTAGTTTCTTCAGGTGTTTTCAATGGTAAACGTCACTGTGGATACAAGCTTTGGTCCATCTAATCAGGCAGGAAAGATGTTATTTATTCCCCCATAAGCTAAACCCGATGTCACTTTGAATCCGCTCGGCAAGATTTCTCCACAGCAACAAACCCAGGCCACCCTTCAGACCTCTCCCCCTTTCAGTGCCTGGCTTACTTTAGTGCCAGTCGTAAGGACTTTTTCCTTCTCAGGGAATTTATTTTGACAGCTCCGTAAAGCCAACCACGAAGACCTCAACACACTCAAGAAACTGGCAACACAAGCTAGTCTTTGCCACTGAAAATCAGGGCAAGGCCGTCATACTACACTCCAGAACATACATGGTTTTTTAACCTGGGAGCTCCAGAGTTTCAGTAATTTTTAAAGGCCTTAAACAGCACTAGAAAGGAAGACTAATTCAGTTGTGAGATACAGAATTTCATCACTAGTCTCTACAGCAGAAAGATAGCAATGGATACATGAAAATAAATGCAAATTATTTACCACTTTGATGCTCCAAATGGCACTGCCGGGAAGCTGTCTGGATTTAAAAATGTCCCGACCTTCTGAAATGTCTGGGGACCAGGAAGGTGGGCTCACTGTATTATTGGTACTCCAAGCCCCCTAGGATACGGCAGGTGAGAAAATAGATGTATAAAACTTTGCAACATAAAAAAAACAAAGAAAAAAAAAAAGAAAAAAGCAAGCAACCAAAAAATAATCTGAAAGCAAAGCACATGCAGGCATAGGCATTTCTACGTTAAGTAGTCAATTAGTTCACCGAGTGAGAGGAAGGTGGGAACATTTTAGGTTCTCATTGAAGCATACACTAAAACAAATATTAACCTCCAACTGATGGTTAAGTACAACAAAATGAGTTTTATAAACAAAGCACATTACAAATTGAGAGCAAGCAATCATAGCAACAACAAGTTATATCCCTAAATTTTATTGCATCAAAGGAAGGAGACAGTAGTTTGAGATGGTAACATCCCCTTTTACACTTCAAATCACATTCTGAAAGAACAGATGGCCTTACTCGACTTTTGAGTCTAAACTACTGACAATCACGGCAACAACTACTTTGCAAAGTGTGTGAAACAAGAGGAATATAAATAAACCAATGGAAAAATAGAAAAACAGCTATGGTAATTAACAAAGTACCTCTTCCCTGCAAGTTTGCCACAAATGAACCATTATAAAACCCCACAATAAAGTTTTTTTCATGCCAGCGTTTTTATATTATGGTGTGGTATCAAATTTTAATATGTTATGATATACATGTAACAATAAACATCCATATGGTGTACCTACAAACACTTTTTAACTGATTGATTCATATCCCTGCTGCTATAGTTCCCGTCATGGCGAGATATTGTGTAACTGTCACAAGAAATACAGCGAAACAAGAAGAAGTTGCAAAAATGGACAAGAGAAAAACCCAAACACTGAAGCTCCTCATACACATTAAAATCTGTGGAAGACTTCATTGAACCCTGAGTAAAGACTGCGGGAGACATCAACGACTTCATAACTAACTTCAGTCTACAGTTACAAATCAGAGTACTTCAAGGTTAATACGCTTTCCTAATTCTAAGTTTGTGAAAGTAAGAGATAATGAATACCAAAATGAGGAGTAAAACAGACAAAAAGCACAGGTTTACCTTCTCGGGAATGACACTGAGCAGTAGAACTGCACGGATGAGACGGGATAACCTCACACGTACCACCAGTCCCAACTGTTCACACTCAGAACTGCTCACACGGGCAAGCTTGAACACATTTACACCTCTGAATACTGGTCTATACAATCGTAAGCACTAAGGAAAAGGGGATAGCTTTGCAAAATGTGGGGTTTTTCTGAAATGAAATATTCTCCATCAAGAATGCATGGAAAACAGCTTCTTGGGAATCAACAACTCAGCAAAACACAGATTCATCTGCATGGGAAAGGGACTGTGGACAATATAGCACTTAAAAAACCCAAACAAAATCCCCAAAAAAACCCACAAAACAAAACCAAAACACCCCATCACTTCGTATCAAGAGCACTGTGGTGTATTAACTGGTTTATTAATCAGATCTCTGTTGAAATCTCGTGTTTTTACTAAGCACTGGCACACCAGGGAGCAACTACACCAGCAGGATTGTGGCAATAGGAAATGTAACTTTACTATGCTAGCCGTATTTTTAATGTTTAAGAATGTCCCATTTTAGAAAGACAAAGGAAAAACTTCCATTGAATTTTAGTTAGTTACTAAAATTCGTAATGCATAGTAACTGCTCTTCTAATACGGCAACTCAAAATCTGCACAGCAACACAAAGAAAATCTGCGTATCGTGGGAACAACCTTTACACCCATCTGTAAGGGAGGCAGCGTGCTGGCTAAGGGGCAAAATTCACCATCTCGACATGCGGAAAATGCTTCCTCAACAACTAAAGCTACCTACTTCTGTTTGGGGGACACAAAATTATTTTCCTTTTAAGGAGATGCACTTCTCAAGTGATCAAGTATATTCAAAAGATTAAAAAGCTAACAGAATAATAAACCTGAATATATTTGGTCTTGCAGAATGAAATGACTTGTGTATGATTCATGAACCATATTGTTAAGAATTACATTGGAAATTTAATCCAAGTTTTATTGTAGATCAGAAACATTTGAATTCTTGGTCAGATAAACTTAATTAAAAACACACACTTCCACAATACTATGAACAAATGAATTACATCAAAGAGATGCATTAATTATATTTTGGCTTTTAATTAATGCCTATTACTATACAACACTGAAGAGAAAGTTCTATTCAGTTCATTCACATCCGAACCACGGCAATAATGATGTGCTGTGACAGAAACAGGAAGTCCTAATTCTCCATCAGCTTCTTGAGTCCTCGACACTGAACAACACAGCTGGAAGTGAATGACAGCAAAAGGAAGCCCCGTGTCAGCAAGGGTCAGGAGCTCTCACCGAATTACCACTGCCTGCGTTCAGCTGCTTCACGCCGTATGAAATCTGCTGCAGTCGCACACGAGCAAACCTGGATCTGCATTTTGACTTTCACGTACTTTTAGGATTGTGAGCAAAACTTACTCTGTTCAAAACACAGCTCCCCTCATTAAAAGAACCCAAACATAAAAACCAGAACAAAAACTAATCCTTGAAAAAGACCCTTTTTGATCATTTTTTTCCCATCTACTACTAAAACAACATACTTAGAGGTACCATGTAATTCAAAAAAAAAACCAAAAACACCATAATACCCAAGAAAGATCATGCACTGAACCCACCACGGTGCTTTGCACTTTTGTCAGTTTAGAAAATCCCTTAAAACACCTGGAGATATGTAGTGAGCTGTGTAACAGTGATCACCAGCGTCTTCATGATGAGAATTAAACACCTCTAATCATAGAACATATTCTAAGATAATACAGTAAAACAAAAGCAGTAAGTTATTATTTCCTATCCAGTGCTATTCTACAGACCATTCTCGCCTTTTTCCTACCACTCTTACAATATGACATATGTTGCAATGCCCTCCATTTACTGCCTTCACACTATGCTTTCCTGTACAGTGCTGTTGCAAAAATAACTCTTTCAGATTAGTTCAATTCAGTACACAGAACACACCCAATACCATTTAAAGTATACCTCCACAGAAAAAAATACCATTTTCCCTGTGAAGATTTATTTCAAACTAGATATAAGTCAGATTAGTCATTCATAAACTTACATCATCATTTCTTTTAAGGCTACTACTTTAGGAAAACGAAATATGAAAAAGATCAAAGACAGGTCCTGCCCTCGGCATGAGTGCGCAGTTTGTGGGCAAGGCTGGAGGATGTGCACAAGCCATGGAGAAGACCCTGAAAAGACCCAACTGTGAGGACAGCACTGTGAAAACTTGATCGTGCTGGCAGGCACCAGTGAGTATCTCTGATCTATAAACAACTATAGTTCAGATACTTGTAAAAATGAATTTGGCTCCCTCATGGAGCAGGATAACAGGAACAGAGGCAGCTCATGGACCAAAACCCAAGTGAACTCAGTGAATGCTGAGCCTGGCAGATGGAGGGTCCTCCCCTGGGCTGGACGCAGATTTAAAGCTCACCTGTAGCTGGAGGTATGGATACTACGATACATGAACACACACTGCTAGCAGAAGTGCACCTTGCTGATGGGAGTTCTTATGCTAATGCAGAAAAAAACACATTCAAATAAGCTTGTACCAGTAAAAGCAATTCTTCTCAGTGTAACTGTACCTACATATTGATTTATAACACAGCTCTCCTTTTGTTTAGAAAATAGATTTTCTCCTGTTGCTTCTAACCGAAGCAGCGATGTCTGCAAAAATCCTAGGGGGGAGAGGGGTGGTGACCACAGCAACACAGAGTGCAGCCCTGGAAGGGACTCACGAAGGCTTTTTAGACAGAATCTTGTCTTCATGGTTTGGGAGATGGATTCAGGGTAATGTAGTGGTGCTGCAGACACATCACCAAAGCCTATTACAAATGCAAACTACTAAGATCCAATAGAGGAAATAACTTCAGATTGTGAATAACTTTACATTCAGCAGTGAAACTGAATAATTATTCAAATATATTTTATGAGCAACTGTATTAATAGATTTTGAAGAAAGGGACAATCATTCATCGTCCTGCCCAGCACAATACATTACATTTAATGAAAACCAATCCCAATCAGAAACTATTCCTTTACACGGATTCCCCTGACTCCAGTGAAGCGTGTGCCTTACAAAATTGAGGAGCAATATATTCAGGACCCAGAGGATTTTTTTTCAATTTTTTTTCCTATTCTTCTTCCTAAGAAGTTTCATAAACCCACTGCAGTGGATTTTTTATTTATTCTTTTTAAAACAGGACCAGGACATTCCAACAAGGTAAACTACATATTAAAAGACTGATAACCTCTAAGAGAAAGTGCAGCATATTGCCATCTGTAAAAACTGGCTAACGCTGGGGTCTTGGGGTCCACGGAGTGATCAGACTCTTTATGAAGCATTTATTTTAACCCTGTGCAGTCCTGGACAAGCAATGGGTTCTGCAATGACAGCTCCTTTGTGCAACAAAAGGCAGCCATGGAGCCAATGTTAGCTTCAACAACTACATAGGAGCCTCCTTAATCCAGAAAAGAACCCAAAATAACCTATTTGCCTAAATTTTCTCTCCTACTTCACTGCTTTCTAAGACATCCTGCCAAAAACTCATTCAGCTGCAAGGTAACATCTGTTAAATGTTAAATGTCCTGACACAAAGCAACACAACAGCATTTTGTGTTATATTTTAAGCAGAAAGACCTCAGACCCATAAAGTGAACCTGCTTTTGAGGGCAAAATTCCTCTTTGGTGACACTCAGATAAGAACCACACATGAGCTGCTTTATTTCCAACCTGCTCTACCTATAACTTCACAGCAGCATTGCTTTCCTCCTGAACTGTTTTTCTTTTTACTTGTTTTGGCTCAATGCGATCATCCTGGGACAGACAGGCACTGAAATGCTGTTAGGCTAAAAATGTTTTAAATTCAGTTTATGCCTCTTCCTTAGCAGTGAGGCCACAGAATTGTTTCTGGTGAAACCCCACTGACTTGCCTTCAAACCTGCCCCAAAACTTGTCATTAACAGGAAACCAAAAGCCCGGGCACAGGGGAGCGCAGCAGAAGGAAGATCGCAGTTACAGCTACGAGGCTGCTTCTTGCTTGTGCCAATTTGGGAATCAATTTGTAAAATCATACATAACGAGTTGCTTACAAAGAAAGTCATTTATAGGGCTGCTGGCACAAATACCAGAAAAAATGCAGCATTTCTTCTCCTGAGAACTGGAACAAATATTTTTTTTAAAAAATCACTACATGTAAAGTGCACTTTTTAAGATGACATAAATTGAGCAGAATTAGGTGAAAATGCACGGTGTTCTTTGACAACCAAATGTATTTCGAGGTTTCTGCTCCTATTCACAACTCTCCATTTGGAAAAGTACACAGTTCTTTAAAAAACCTTGAATGTTTACAGCCAAAATAATAATTGAAAAAACAAACCCAAACTTAAACCAATTTCTGTGTGCAATCCAAAGGCTAAGACGACCACAAGGTCATAGTTTTTTCCAGTCCTTCTCAAGTCAGTTTTTCACTGACTTCCAAGAAATCCCAATCTCTGCTAAACCTGACTAATCAAAGGAAAGACAGAAGTGTACTGGGACTTAAAACAAAGCAGGCCCGTGCTTTTCGTAGCAGAAAATTGCTACTTGCTTCACAACGGCTCCATCTTAACAGGTGTTTAAAGTGCAAGACAAAGACGACTCAAACCAAAAGAAACCCTCACAGACTTCCACACCTTTTTTCAAGACAGATCATACATTTTACAGGTGACTTCTCCGTTCCACAACAGGTGCTGCTAAGCCGCTAAATACCTTGTCATTTTAAAATACAACTTGCAAACTGTTTATAAAGGGATTATATTGATTTAGCATCACAGCCAGGATTTTGTGTTAACCTGACTTAGCAACTGCACTTCAACTCAGTTTTATTTGCATACTCACACCACATATTAAGAGGATAATGTCTACACTCTGTTGTACACAGAATATACAAAGTGCTATTTTGACAGATGACTCTTTCTGGTTTTTAAGGTTCCTATCTATTCTGCTACAGGCATTTACAGCTGGGGTCAGCCTTCATGTTTTCCTCAATGGGTTTACTGGTGGTTAACTGATTTTATTACCAGTATCACAATGCTGGTTCCCATGCAGAATAGGGGCAGATTGCACAGAAAAATAAATACAACTCTTACTGCAACACAACAGAAGATAAAAACTTCTCTGACAGAAAACCCGGATTATTTTACCATTTTCAATTTGCATGATAAGAAACATCATTTTTAAGACAAGTACAGAGTATTAAGAAAAACTATTTTTATACATGCTTGTATATGAAGGTAAAAAAAAAAATCGACCCAGAGTTACTCTAAAACCTTCCAAATTTAATTTCTTATATTACATTTATTGTTTTTATTACATACTTTTAACCTTTTCTGAACACTCTCTCAGACCTTTTCTTAAGAACCAAGAATTCTGAATGCTTAGGTAACACGTAAAAATGGAAAGAATTGTGCAACAGATGAAAGCTTTAACGTTGAGTTCAGAAAAGCATGAAATCATCAACCTACAAGTCCCAAAGACTAAAACTAAATTGCCATCAGACCAGAAATGAAGCACTAATCTGTCACACTGACACACTTGTGGTACAGAATTTTGCGAACACTACAGATTGATGAACCATCTTCCCCACAGCCACGCGACTCGAAGAGAGAGAAAAATGCTGCAGAAAGCGACAGACTTGAGGATTCTTTCACTTATCAAATTGAATCCCAGTCAAACCACAACCATTTGTACCACACAGTTCCTGAATGGTATTTGCTAAAGTAACAAAACCACAAAATTGTTTCCAACGCCATTAAAAGTGTCGATCAAGAAAATATCTGGCAGTGTAACGGAAACAGAGTTGTAGTGGGGTTTTCTATAAAGCCAGTTTAAGAAACTGAAATGCACTTTCAAAGTACTAGCCAAGGTAAATGCATATATGAAAAATATTAAGAGGTAAGTTAAAAGGCACAGCATTAATCAGATCTGCATTTGTAGCATATGTATGAAAAATACAACAGCATTTTCCTCTAAAGCATGAGCCAAAAGAAACTCTCTCACTAGAGAACCCTTATGATGTCTGACCTTTCAATTACTGAACATGAAATTACCTCCTTGAGAAACAAACTCCACACTCATTTAGGAGAATAAACACATATCATACTCTAAAAAACCAGATTAACTTAATGCATTATATTGACATTTGAGCTATGTGCTTCATAAGAGTACATTGAGACATTCCACGTGCTTACCTGTCTCGACCTGGGTCTTCCAGGAGAAAACTTGCGTTTGGTGATGGCAGGTTTTCCCATGCCGATTTTTGGAGTGACTGATATGTAAGTGGTTGGGAGGGCACTTCCAGCAGTGGAAGGCAGTGCCGGGGGCTGGCTGTGCTGCACGTCGCGTGCTGAATGCAAGTCTAACGAGACATCTGGCGAGGAAGACATGTTGGTCTTGTTGATATTAAGTGAGGGGGGAAGCGAGGGGTAAGTCTCAGCTGGTGATTTTATGGGTTTGTCTCCAACTGGTGAACTATTTGCAACACCTTCATTTGCAGAAGTAGTTTCTACTTCTAGAAGAGCTGGCGTTTCCGACTTCTCATGGGTTTCTCCTTTTTCTACATCTTTTTGCACTTTTATGATTTCCAGTTGTTGTTCTGCAGGGACACAAGTATCTCCTTTACTTTCAGTCTCCTGTGTTTCTGGCGTCACAGTTACGGTCTCAGGCACTGAAGACAGAGACCGAGAGTCTACTGTGGATACTTCTGGTACCTCCACGCTACCCTGCGGCAGCTGCGTCTCTTCCACGTGTTTGTCTAACTCCTGTTGTACTACAGCTTGAACACCTTCCACCACTGCCTCAGTCTGACTGTCACCAGGTGCTGGTGTCTTTTTAGGAGACATTTCCATTTCAGCTGAATTAATTTCAACAGAGGCTTCTGTTTCCAGTTCCGTGGTCTTTTCTTCTGGTGATGTGCCTGTAACTAAGTACAATCATGTTAAAGGCTCAGTGCGAAAAACTTACACAAGCGTGTGTACCAATCAACAAGTGTACTTGATACACGCCAAGACATTTCACTTTACTTCAGTGAATTTAATACATAGCTTAAAATATACTTCATAAATATCTTTCTTTGTACCTATGTTTACAGTAATCTATGTTTTTCACGTATGTTCCCACTGTCCAATCACTCTTTTTCTTCCCTGGATACACAGCAGAGTAAATCACGGGAAAGTAAAGCCAAGATTATTTTTTAGGAATCAGAACACACATTTCCAGGTAGGCAGCTAAAAGCAGCTTTGCCTTTTTCATTTCTGCATACTGAAGATGTATGCCAGCATAAATTAATGTATTTTAAGCAGCTGTCCCAACACTTCCAAAAAGCAGACAGTTAAGACAGGACAAGTACAAATAAAAAACACTTCTCTCCTAGCGCTCTTTTAGACTTCAGGAAATCACCTCAAATGAAAACAGTCGATGCTGCTTTTTCATTTACTTATGTGTCATGGATTTCTTTCAAAAGCCTTCCCTTGAACCAAATCAAGCACCTTTCATCCACAAATCTCTTCATCAAGGAGTTCCAGTCTTGAATGCACTCCATGGAGAGCCACCGCCTTTGCTCTGAATTTGGCTTCTTGTCTTCTTTGGTGGACACTGCTTCTCTTACAGGCCCACTTACTTTTTATTATACTTGCACTCTGCTTAAATTCACACCCCCACATCTCCTCAGCCACTACAGTTCAAAGCCTTTTATTATGCATTTTATTATGAATGATTCTTCACTGATAGTCTTCAATCAAGTCCCTTACCCCACAGGCTGTGATGCACAACAGAGTGATCACAGCAAGGTATTTTTGCTTTGGCTTTCAATGCAGGTTTCTTGTTTCCCCTCCAACACTGGCTGGGAGTGGACAGAACATACTGGAAAGCTCTTTGCCACTGATATTGGTTACTTGACCCAAAAACCTGGGCTCTATTTGTATTCTTTTCTTTGGCTGGTACTTCATGAGTGACTTGTAAGATGTATTTATCCCCTGGACACCAATTATCAGCTACTGCAGCACACCCTCTCTGGATGAGTGCATTTGTTTATTAAACAAATTATGTTTGATTTACAAAGGGAAAAAAGAAAATAAGATGTCCTTCAACAAAGATACTTGCGAAGTTACAACCATGAAGCACATGAACTGGAAGTTTATGAAGTTCTATGGTGTGCCTCAAAACACGCTAGGGGAAATTAACCCAGTTATTTGCAGCTACAAACAAAAAAGACTTGAAGAGAAAGTGTGAGTGACTGTATTTGAATAGTAACAAATAGTGGTTTACTTTAAACCTACAAAACACGTACAAGAACATTTAACTGTAGTTTCAGCTTTTGGAGAAAGCCAGTCCCACCGATAACGTAGAATAACTTTCCCCTACACAAATATTCTGAATACTATCTTTGCCTTCAATAAAACACTTCTTCAGCAAGAAAGTGAATACTCTTGCTTGGGAGTTCAGACAGTAGAACTGATGATGACTGAAGTCGTCCCTTCCTGCCTTTCAGGCACTTTCTCTCTTAAATTTATAAAGTCCCACAAACCTTACTGAATGTAAAAAGGTTCTCAAGGGTCCTACACTGGGACTTTCTCAGACTGCAGAGCTCTTTCTTACCGTCCGTGACACATCCGACAGCCGATTCCTGACCAGGACCATCACCAGTAACGGGCTGTTCCTGAAATGCCACATTGTCTCCATCACCTTCCATTTCCACTTCATTTGTACAGGCTGCAGGAGAGGCAAAGAAGTTATTGAAATTAATATGATGTTTATTCTATTACTCTGGCATCAGTAGTTGCTGTCACTGATGGACCTTTTGGCTAAAGAGAATGATATTCGATGATAAGACAGGAGTTAGGACAAACCAGGTCTATGAAGTTAGGGACACTCTACAGTACTCCTTAAGGTTAAGAGTCTTTTTCTCATTAACACTGAAGCTGGTTTATACCTTTCAGACAATGAGAAATGTCCGTAAAGCACTATATAACTGTGAAAATTTAATTTACACATAGTCAAGAGACTTTTTGCACCACCTGAGCAATACAAAAAAGTCTTTTCTCAAATTCTAGTCTGCTAAATTCAACAGAAATATTAGCATGAAGGCTTCAAACTTTTATACAAATCCTGCAATGGTTTATGGCATAGATATGAAGTTCCATCTACTAACAGCACTTGGAACACCGATTTTCAGTCTGTTCAAAACACGGAAATTAAATTTTACCACTTCAGAATTAGGATACCTTAATCATATTAAATAAAGGAATTTGCATGGAAAAGGTGCTACTGAGCGCTTCTTTGGCTGACAGTATCATTTTATAGAGCACAGAACAGGAAATACTTTTTTTCCTGAAGCAAAAGCTTTTTCAGTTAAGGAAGTTCATCAAAATGCAGTAGACAAAGTAGGAGCAGGAAAAACAAAGTACACAGTAAGTGCTAACTCAAAAGGAACTGATCCTCCACATATGTAAGCACAAAAAAAGTCCAACAGAATATAAATTTCTGTTCAGGAAAGTCTCTTTAAAGTTCAAAAAGCCAGGAACTATTAGGTGATGCTACTTTCAGCACCTAAAAACTGCTCTTAAACTCTGCCAACTTTAAAGTGATATTTTAACTTTGAGGAAATGATCACTCAGATTGGCTCCAAAGCTGATTTTAATGCACAAAAGTGCTCTCTTGGGTATGAAGCACTGCATGACTGTACTGATGTAATAGCTCCAGATTACTCCCAGTAGCCGAGATGACAGTCCTGTTCTTCCTTGGGGAGAAGAGCATGCTTGACAATGCTTCTACTGCTTAGAAATCCTAACAGAAGTATTTCTTAAAATAAACCTGTTACTTATTCAAAAGGGTTTGAGTAGAAGATGGGGAGGTTTTCCAGTGCCAGTTTTGGATCTTACTTGGACATCTTCCTAAATGCTCTAAATACATGGTCTGAAGGTCCAACAGCCTCTACTAACCTTTCAGAATGGAAGTGATCTTCAAAGGCTGAGGTCGTCGCTTTTCCTAACTCGGCGTGCGTGTTCACTGACAGATTTCTTCTGCTCACTTACACACATTTACCTACTGTCACTGCCCTTCCTCCACCATCACCTTTTTCATCATTTCTTTACTGTTCATGAAAGGTACGCACTTACGTGTACAGGCTAACATCAAAAAGAATTACTTGTTTATGCAAAACATCAGTTTGAACACACAGAAATTAAGAGTTTTGTTGTAGCTCAACATTTGCCCTTTCCAGCTGAAAATTATCAGGCTTTCAAAAACATGGATACTTATGCAACTGAGCTATCGATTTCTTTTAACAAAAGATCAGTGCACAAGCATGGTGTTATCCAACAGTGCATGTGGTGTCAAACACACAAAGGCATTCAGTTCTGAGTCCATTACACAGGTCTTGTGGATGACCCACCAGAATCAGATCAACAGATCCAAGTTCTCCCTGTGCTTCCTTACTGCTACCAAGTTGGGTTTTTTTAATATACTTTTCTGCAACTTCCCTTTCTACCTTTTCCTTGATTTGTCCATTCAGACAAGAATAACTCAGAAACAAGATGACTAATCATACACTGTTTTGAAAAGCTGTTTAGTTAAATATACCTTTCCCTCAAACATAGTCCAGCTCCCACTGCTGCGTCCTACCTGGGCACAGTGAGGAGAATGGCACCATGAGACTGACAAGCAGCAAGAGGAAAACAGCAAAACTGGACATTTCCAGGAACATCCACCAGAAGCTGGGTTGTGCCTGGTAGTTAGGCACAAATGAATACAGCAGTTAGGCTGTCAAATTAATGCAATCATGAAATGTACCACATCAAAAAAATTAGAGAAGTTTACAGCTACAGGCTGGGGAGCTGGAGCTGGAAGGCTGAGAGCCACCACTAAGGTGCTTATTTGCCTATATCTAAAACAGGATCCTGAAGCCTGAAAGCTCACCCATGGGTTGCTTGAGAAGCTGCTGCTAAATAAAGGAATGGATGAACTCCACGGAGCAGAACCTGAGTGGCTGGTTCACAAAAGACTTAGTGAGACAGCTGCAGATATTTATTATATTTGATGTTAGCATTTTGGCAATATAAATATTAGTTTTGATTACCTGTTATACTGTCAGGTTCAGGAATGAGTTCAGAAGTGTCCATTACATCACATGACTGAGTCTGATCCCCTTCTCCTTGCTTACAAAGAGTGCAGATGTAGTCTTTCAACTGAGACTCCAATTCACTACCTGGAGATCTGTCACATTCTATGTGAATCCATCTGGGGAGATTAATTTAGCGTGACTATTATTTTAATAATAAAAATATAAATTAACCTAGTAAAAATCAACTTTTAAAAACAGCAGTTTTCCATTTCTGTTGGGGAACTAAAAAATTTCAACCAATGGTTCATTACAGAGAATTTTACAGAAATAAGTATGATACGTCAGTATGTCAAGCAGTGAACAAATCTAAACACGAGGGCCTAAACTGTCACTAAAGCCAGCTGGACATCACAACATGTATAGCAGTATCAAGACGTTACACAGCAAGACACAAGAGCACTGAATATGAAATGCAATCTACATCCTTAGAAGATTCCCCATAGCGCTTTTTTTTTTAGTTACTGACATAGCAAACGACATAAAATTAAACAGAGAACACCTACTTGAAAATGTAACAAAAAAAGACCACTGCAAACAGCCCTGTTTATACAACAGTCTTTAAAAGTTAGGACAATGACTCTTCTAGTCTGTTTACTCACAAAATAGATGCAACGTAAGAAGCAGCAGCACATATTTCTCTGTACACCTCAGGTAACTTCCAATTAATACTTATTTGTTGAGATTAAATAAGACTACCTAATATTGTTCACTGTATTTAGGGATGAAGGCTCAAGATGCTGCACAAGACACTGCATTGTACATCAAACAGAGTCTACACCCTTCACAGAAACACATCAGTGACATACAGCTCACCACAAGCTTTAGGCATTTCAGTACAATTTAACAAAAATGACAATTCTTACCTTTTGCACATGTGACAATGCAACATATCTTTCTGGAAGTCTTGGAGGCACAGTTTTTCACAGAAAGGACAAGATAAGTTGTCTTGCTGTTGGTAACAACTGTCACATACCAAACAATTATGGTGCCACTGACAACTTGTTCGTGTGCCACACTCAGCACATACTCTACAGTTCTAGAGATCACAAGAATTTAGTTGTTAATTATGGTATTTCACAATGTGACAGAACTGCCATTAACTGACATTTCCTGTCTTGAATTAAATTAAAGAAAGTTTCTGTCTCTGATAACACTAATAAGCTATCCAGGATTGATAACAGCACATGAACGGTCTGTGCAACAGTAAGAAGAGTTTCCTTGCACTACTCCCTGATTTGAACAGAGTATTTCTCATGAAAAAAACCTTTTTTCTTCCTAATCTCAGTCATTTTATGACTGCCACAGGGACTTCCCTTGTTATACTGAAATTGCATTTTTATTATTACTTACACTTATTCACAAAGTTACTGATAAAACAACAAATTCAGCCTGCCCTCCTCAAATGCAAAGGAATTGTTGAGCTGCCGAACAGCCTTTCTGGTAAGCAAGTAGCAGTTGAATATAATGAGCCTTCAAGTACAGATTACATACACTACTGTATAGATTGTAGTGTACATTAGATCATGAGAGCAGCTGTCATTAAGTAGAGGTTATCCACTCCACCTGGATCCTGTGCTTTTTTTTCCCCTATGGGGGTTGATTTCTCAACCTACGCAGACTGCTTCAGCCACTGCACTGACAGCTACTCTCACAGAGCAGCTGTAGAGCCATATGATTACATACAAGTGGGATTCCTTCACAAATTACAACTTATGTTATAACAGCAGTCTGTAACGCACCTAGAACAGTATAATGTGGATAACAACATTTGGGCCCCTATAATGAAAAGGAATTATTCTGAAGCTTTTCAACTTACTTTACATTTCCAACCATTTGTTGGTACAGCATCCATAACTGGTTGTAGACAGAAAGTATGGTAGCCTTTGTCGCATGTATCACACACCAGCATCTTGTTGTCTTCCCCAGAATGTCTAAGAAAAATAATGAGTGGTTAAAAAAATTATTTAAACAAGCCATAATAAAAAATCTATTTAATGAAAAGCATGAACAGGTAGACAAACAGCTGAGCACACAAAAATATATGAATACCACTTATAAATAACTCTAAACATACTACCCTCAAATTACAGTTAAGTATGAATGAAGACCACTATGTGTACTTTAGTGAGTGCTGAGCCTGTGCAACCATTCTTACTTCTAGAGATCAGCCCGCTTTCATTGACACACGTGTAGGCAGATTTAATGGCCTTGCTGTACTGAAATCTGTTCAAAATCTGAAACATGTACTTTATTTCTTTCTGAAAAGAACAAGTAATTGTACTTGTTCCTACAAACAGTCTGACTGTATTTTTTCCAAAGAAAAAAAATGAGCCATCACCTCTGACTACCAGAGCTCCTACAACATCAACCAATATGACTGCAAGAGCAAAACAAACATTACAGAGGAAAGAGATCTCAATTTTCCTGCAATCAGATATTACAGAGCTCCACCACAAATTTCAGCGATAAAATAAATTTGCAAAGGATAAGACAAATAGTTTGGTAATATCTAAAGGCGTTGTGTTCTGTCTTAGTTTAAATAAATTAATTCAATAAGTATGCAACAAGATTTGCCTTGATAAAGCTGCACAATGGCATTGCACATACCTGGTATTACTTCATTACCTGGGAGACCTAACATTTTAAAAAACAGTACATGCCCTCTCTCTGCATGAAGATGTGCTTAAAATGCTATTCTTAACACTGACATAAAACCACCACGCTGCATAAAGTAATAGGTGTGAAAACATCACATTTTCTTCTACTTTTCCACTAGAGAGAGGGGTTGTTAGCAAATACTGTCATTACCCTATACAACACTTTTAGGGATACTTTTTCGAACACGCTTCACTATTATAATTTCATTGCTGGCATTTGCTATCAGCTCTGTGTGATCAGGGAACAATCTTCTTTAAAGTGGGTGAATCTGAATGCCGACAAACACCACACGTTCTGCTTGGGAAACAGCAAAGCTCTGACTGATCAGGTACGAGCGGCAGTAATGAAGTGGCTTTTTTCCTTCACACTGTCCTGACCAATCTGACCAAAGCCAAACAAAACTCTTTCTTTCTTTTCTATTAAGCCCTTTAAGAAAAAAAGCACCAACCAACCAAGCAGTCAAAAGAACCCTGCAGTGCCCATCAGGTTAGGTGAGACGAGAAGAAGTGTACAAGCGGTCAGAGATCTTTAAGTGAACCCTTGTAATATCACAACAGTTATGTTTTGTGGTCTCAGTATTTGTCTGGTGTAACAATTCAGTCATGGTCACTCATGTCACTTTTATTCTTTGCTCAATCAAGCCATATTGTTGTTTTCATAATGACTCATTAACTGCCTCTTAAAGATGTTATGAAATAGAAGAGAGGGCTTAATGCAGGTGATCTACCCAGTGTGTGCCACATGCACTGCTGAAATGTCAGCTGAGGAAGAGGACAGGTTCCCAGTCTGTAAAGGCACTACACTAAACTAATTTCCTATTTTGGTAAATTTAAAAAAAAATCCTCCTGTGTAAAAAGAGGAAAAAGCCAGAAGGTTTTGATGCTCTCCAGAAACTGCCAAGATAATGGTAACTCTGGGGGTTCAAAGTACAGGAGTTGCAGCTCAGCTCTTTCAGAAGAAAGTTCCCAAGTTTGTGTCATATCAGATCAGTATCATAACAGATGTATATGGACAAATAATCTACACTTTTTGGAAAAAAGAACAGTTAATAAAATTGATGTTTTAAAATCACAGCACTTAAATCTCACACCATCCTCCTCCACGTCCTTTAAGTCTCACTTACTTGCAGTTCTGGCACACTTTGCAATCAGGACATTGCCAACCTGCTCTTTTTAAAGGTGTAACTTGTATGTCCAGGCACATCCCGTGGTAGTGCTGGCCACAGGTAGTACAAAAAAGTTGATCTAAGAGGTCTCCAGGGCTGTCACACACTGCGCAATTTGCTTCTTCCTTTGCTACAAAGAAATAGTTTTTCCAATTATTATTTTGTTTGAGATTATGAACGATTCAATGAACTCAATGAAGCCAAGAAATTCTTTAGTAGCTTTTACACATATAAAACTTGATCATGCTTACTAAATTCAGATTTAATTCATATGCTTAAAAACTACTCCTTTCATTTGGTTTTCCGATATAGCCAAACTAATCTTCTTGAAACAAAAGTACAATCACTTCAAACCTTAATAAGGTCTTACCAAAAGAAACAGTTTTATTGTTAAGACAAAACCGAGAGCTTCAGCACCAACTATTCTCAGGAACAAGTACAAACAAAGCTCCTAATAGATCTGAACCTATGATTTAGCTGAAGTGTTTGCACTACGGTTGCTCTCTGAGTTAGGGCAAGTAAGCAAGCCTATCGACTTGGACTGACACCTGGTGGAGGACAAGCTGTTTGAGTAAATGCTTCCCATGTGCTGTCTTAAAAAAAAAAAAAAAGTAAAATACTAACTTTGCTGTGCACCACTGTTAGTCTTTGGGTGACAGAGCACTGGCCCAGGCTGCCCAGAGAGGCTGTGGAGTCTCCTTCTCTGGAGACATTCAAAACCCACCTGGACACGTTCCTGTGTGACCCGGTCTGGGTGATCCTGCTCTGGCAGGGGAGTTGGACTGGATGATCTTTTGAGGTCCCTTCCAACTCCCAATATTCTGTGATTCTGTGATTCTTTAAATACAGAACAGTATGAAAACTCACATTTTTCTCATACTTGAACATATATGAACTCCTGGGTACAAGAACTGCGAAAATGGGTCTAAACAAATGTACTCTTAAGCTGACCCTACCACAGAGCAGTTTTCCTAAAACCCGGTATTGATTGTGTCATTTCAATACTGTGTACTTACATCTTTCAGGAGCCTGATCAATGTGGTCTGGACAAAGGAGGGACAAGTTACTGAAATCCTGAAACGTGCCTGCTCCAGCAGCACAGGGGTAATGGTACATCTGGGTACATTTCTCTTCACAGCATTTGATAGTGGCTCCAAGGTGCTTACAATACGCACATCGCTGAAAAACAAACACAAAAGAGGTTTTGAACAATTTGGTGTCATTTTTCAGCCAGATCAGCTCCCCAGCCTCATTTAACAGATGAACACCTCAGCTTAGGAGGGAGCGAATACTGAGGTGAAGGAAACCAGTGGCCTCTGTCCTTCAGTGGTACTCCCAGATCTTTCCAGCTTAAAACGTTTAACAAAACCCACCCTAAATGCACTCTGATGACTGAGATTCTTCTTGTCACAGAAAAGCTTGTTTTCTTCTCTATGTTATCTAACTCAAGCTATGCCTTCAGCAAAGAGACTCACTATGAGTAATAAAGCAGACCCCACCACGCTGTCTGTAGGTTATAACTAAAACCACATAGCTCTGCAAGTTGTAAAACTGTAGATACCGTTATGAGAAATGCAGATGGAAGTGAAATATCATGTTCTACTGAAAATCTTATTGACGTTATACAATTCTCCCTGGGATGGTAACGCATTATCTAATCTAGCACTTTCTTCTCATCTCTCCTTTCAACGCCACACAAATATCACTGCCAAACGCTGAGAAGTCATAAACAAGCATGTTTTTTATTGGAGACCGTAGTCACATTTGTAAAGAACTAATTTCTTGGCAAGAACTACCCAATAACCCTCCAGTTCTCCAGTCAAGAGGGAACTGACCCCATCAGCCTGCTTGTAAAGTATCACCCACACCTTTCGGATCCAGTTCATCAGGCTTTTCTCTTTCCTGGATTCATCACAGTCCCTGAAGCGCTGTAACACGCTTTTGCACTTTTTCACCAAGGCAACAATACTTTTTAAGGCTAAAGCACAGCACCGTAAGATTTGGAGTAAACTGAAGAAAAAACAGGTCAGCGGCTCACAGGAAGGCACAGACAACACACACCAACAACTGAGCGCAGCAACTCTTGTTTTTCATCACAGAAATATAATACAACCACCAGCAGGTCTGATTACTGGCTCATGTGTCAAGTCACATCCAAATACGAACAGATACCAAAACAAAACAAAGAGTTACACACCACATCTGCTTAATTCTTAGAATAGAGACAATATTTATTACCATAATTCTCTGTGTTTCAAAGCCTGGCATGAAATTAGGCATGAAATAGTGCTACTACAAGTCCACAGATATCAAAATCAGTCCATACGAAAAATACAAATCACAAAGCTGCCTGTAGTAACAGCTACACCGACAATCTTCAAACCAGATGAAATCTAACATCTTCAGCAATATATCTGCCTGCACCACAACTCCTGGACAAGGGAAAGAAAAAACCCATTTGTTTATGCTAAACACAACGGCACTGTAAAAAGAGAACGCTTTGGCACAGAAATTAAAGCAGGTCACTAAGGACAGCTACAGTCGTGTTTCTGAGCTACAACGCTTAGTGCAGTCTTCAGATCTGCAAGACGTCTCCCCTCTACCCATGTCTCTAACCCCTACCAGCAGTATGGAAAAGGTGTATTTTGTGACTTTACTAGCCAAAAGGCAGACGAGGGGAGGTGGGACAAGACAAGCAAACAGGTACATGGAGTTCCTGAAGCAGGTAAAGGTAGCAATAGTAATCAAGTTTAAGAATTGCCAACAAAACCAAAGTCATGCAAGAAATTCATTTCAGAAAACTATATATTCAGTAAGCACCCACTGAGGATGCTGTAAAAGGTAAATCCTCAACTCATGATGTGAAATCATGAAAATACAGCCTAAAGCCTCCAACTTCATGAGCTGTAGCTGCCCATTAAACAGCACACACCTGCTGCACTACTTAGTACGTGACGCTCCTAGAGCCCACTGGGATGGCCCAGATCACAGCTACGGCCCAACTCTACAGACAGGCCACGTATTTATCAAAGACACTACTGGTAAGAAACACTGGGAATGGGAGCTTGGGAGGAACTAAGCTCCCTCAGGAAAGTAGTCAAGACACTTTGTTGTATCCCGTAATTAACCCTTAAGAATTATCTAATTGGGAAGGAAAAATCTGAAAGAACTGCAAGCACTCTAAGAATCCAACATTTACTAAAAGCTGAGCATAACCCATTAAAATAGCAATATTCATGGCGTTTTTAAACATCACATCTGTTTTCCAAAGCCACCAGTCAACAATGGTACATAACAAATGTTACATCAGAATATACCTTTTCCCAAATGCTATACAACTAAACAATGAAATTATTAGAAAAGAGCAAACTACAGGATTACAGCAAAGCCTTGAAAAATGTTGATGTTGATTTAAGGAATCATGTAAAGACGCTGGAAGAAAAATGGAAACCCAAATTACATTTAATTGAACCCTTCAAACCCATCTGTTAAACTGCACTGGCAATGAAAAGCATTTGGCAGCCAAGGAAAACACACACTTTCAAAACAATGTGGTATATATCATCTGAAACAAATAAAAAGCAGAGAATATCAACATTTGCTGAATTTATAAGACAGATAAAGCAGTTTGAAGAAACAAATGCCCAAAGGGATTTTTTTGGCAGCAGCTGTTGATGAGGAGTTACTTTTCCAGCGCTGGAAGCCAACACTTCTCTGAAAGCAGGCCACGTGCTCCGACCCCTGAAGAACAAGGATGCAGCTATCACAATTCACTGACCTTCACAAAGAAAGCAAGGGTATGAACCGCAGAAGTATATTAATTAAAAAAAATAAAAGCTCTGCTAAATAAACTCAGTAACAAATACTACTTTACTACTACTGCTAAAATACAGCATCGGGACAGTAGGAGGTAGAAGGAAGAAATAAATTATGTTGCCCATGAAATGCAGGTGTCTTTACCACGCTGTGGAGGACACAGCCAGTGTGGAGTCTTCAATTTTATTCGTATGAGCACAAAATAAAGCGTTATTTTCAGGACGCAGAAGCTGAATCCAAGTCTTCAAAGGGTAGGCTTAGGAAATGGCAATGTCAAAGCAAGCCAAATGCTCTTTTGTTCATGGATCAAGTAATTTTACAGTCCTGCTATACAGAAAAAAACCAAAACTCTACAAGGTGTCAGAAACCTGGAGAGATCGTCCATTACTAATTCATAGTAACTCAATGAAATGAACACCACTAATGAACACCAACTGGACAGCAACCTTACTGCTGCTCCATACTCCAAAGTACTCCAGAACTCAGCACACGGTCAAATGAAAGATGCCAGCATTTATGATAATGTAAGATTTTACACAGATAGTACTAAGAACAAATCAGAGGTCATATTTCATCATTATTTTATTGCCCTTACAATTACTTTATAGTATCAGTGTCTCAGCAATTGGACAAGTAACAACCTTAGGAGTCAGACTTTAAAGAAAGGAGAAAGTATGGACTTTGAATAAATACTTAGCTGTGACCTGATTAGTGCAGCAAAGTTTAATGTTAGTAGTAGGTATTGCAAAATGTTCTTTAAACAAAACGACAAGAGGTTTTCACTGATTATGAACTTACTAAGCTTTAAAAAGGTCAGCTGACAAAACCTATGATAACGATAAGCAATTTTATGATCACGTACCCCAAAATGCACACAAGCCATCTGTCCTTAGTCAAACAGTTTAACCTATTACCCGTAAGAACAAATTTCAGGCTGTTTAGCTACTGAAAATCGCTACCATACAAACCTGTAACTACGGAGAACTGCACCTTAACATCCTGCCATTATCAAGAACGCAAAGAAATTTCAGGATAAACGGCGATTAATGAAGTTTGTTCTCTGGTAGTTCTGACAATCTTCATTGACTGTGATCTAGAAAAAGCTTTCTATTGCTCAAAGAGACCGATCGCCATTAGCACCTCTAATGCCAAACACACTGCTCTAAGTGCCATAAAGCACTTATGATCACAACGCAGTAAGACGGCAACATAAAAACAATAAACGGCTTTTGGTTGAACTACTGCTTAGAAAAGGTACTAAATAACACGCATTTCCAGGAAAAGTGGAAATTACCTTCTAATTTTTTAAATTTTGTATTAATCGTGTCACAAATCTGAAAGTTACTTAAATTTGCAACAAGCAATTCAGAGATCAGCTATTTTTGTTCCTCAATCCTTAACACATACCAAAATTGAAGAAATTAAAATTCGTATTTCTCTGTAATTTAAATCTTAAATGTTCTTAACAGAGACAGCATGGACTAAAACTTTACTGCAGTGTCCACTTCATGCTCTGAGTACTGTAGTAGGTAATTTTAAAAAATCTTTTCTTTTTAATGCAAATCGTCGAAACAAATGATCAAGTTTTGCTTCTAAAACTGTATGAAAAACCACGGACAACCAGAAGAGAAGTTGAGACCGTATCTGGAATATTGTGTCCAGTTCTGGGCCCCTCAGTTCAAGAAGGACAGGGAACTGCTGGAGAGAGTCCAGTGTAGGGCTGCAAAGATGATCAAGGGAGTGGAGCATCTCCCTTATGAGGAGCGGCTGAGGGAGCTGGGTCTCTTTAGTTTGCAGAAGAGGAGACTGAGGGGAGACCTCATTCATGTTTATAAATTTGTAAAGGGTGAGTGTCCCGAGGATGGAGCCAGGCTCTTCTCGGTGACAAACAATGATAGGACAAGGGGTAATGGACACAAACTGGAACACAGGAGGTTCCACTTAAATTTGAGAAGAAACTTCTTCTCAGTGAGGGTGACAGAGCACTGGAACAGGCTGCCCAGAGAGGTTGTGGAGTCTCCTTCTCTGCAGACATTCAAAACCCGCCTGGACGCCTTCCTGTGCAACCTCATCTAGGTGTTCCTGCTCCGGCAGGGGGATTGGACTGGATGATCTTTTGAGGTCCCTTCCAATCCCTAACGTTCTGTGATTCTGTGTGATTCTGTGAAGTGATATGGCCAAGCTCAACACATGACTGAGGGAGACTGTCTTCTAACGCAGAATTCCTGACTAGATACCGCATCTGCCCCTGATCTGCCCAGTTACCTACACAGGAATAAAGAACAAAGGTTAAAAGATACAAGTGATGACTAAAACATCACTATCGGTGACTCAACACTCGTAATCAAGGCAGAAAGCAAAAAAAGTCCATTTAAGTGTGGAGATTTCAGGCTGTCTACAACTCACTACTTTGTTCCTCCTTCCCACCATTTGCGTCCTTTTTACACCTTTATAAAAACTTACATTAAATAAATGCTGTTGATATCAAGGCATTAAAAAATCGGAACAATTCATGTTCTGCAGGGCTGTTTTTCGTAATAGTTGTGATAGGTTAATAACCTGTAAGGAGCAAGTTTGCTAACGGAGATAATATTGTTTAATTTGATACCTGCAATAAGTAGAGGAAAACATGCAAACCTTATGGCACACCAAGCCTTCCTCATATAATCCAAAATGTTCCCAAACACCATTTATTCAGAAGCTCCACAGAAGGGTTTGAAGTTGCATCCTCCCCACCATTATATAAGCTACTGGAATAACTGCATGCAGATCCTTTCCTCCAGTCTCTGCCTTTGCTGCTTTTTTCACACTTTCATGAGGAAAATCTTTTTTTTATTATTCACCTCGCAGCTTTCTACAAGATTTAGCATAATGTAAATGTTTTGAGTGAGTCTGAGCTTCCCCACAGCCAACCACCAGCTATTCCCTTAACTTTCATCTAATACCCACCGTGACAGAAGGGCGCACACGAGCCTGTTGTTTAGTTAGCATGTCAACAATGAGAAGGTCACTAATGTTTAATGTCATTTAAATTGTGATTATTAGGCTTCAGCATCAGCAACTTCAGGACAAACAAGGCAAGAAGAGAAATCGTCAGCTTTGGTTTAAGGCTGCTTTTTGGCAGGCTCAGAAAACCAAGTGTTGTGCCAGTTCCGTTTGATTCATGCTCAGAAGGTCTTAAGAAGCATGTGTAGACGTTTCTTTTCGTTGGCAGAGCACAGCCTGAGCCACAAATTGTTGGAAGCTTGGAAAAAAAAATTGGGGGAAACATTGCTACATGCTTGTTGTTTAATGGTCTTCTCCAGGCATCTGTTACTGGTCATTGCAGGAGACACTGGAATGAAGTCAACTTTCTGTCTAATCCAGCACAGCCTCTACGTTCCTAAATCGCATACAAGGAGCCTGAAGTGCCTTGTGCATTCTGTTGGTTGTCTATGCTACAGATCCTCCACAGCTACAGATAGGCTGGCACCATTACATTTGCAAAGCCATTTAAGAGAAACTCAGTGAAAAGAGAATTCACTGCCGATACAGTCACACAGGGCTTCCAATGGCACAGGGCTTGAGACGAGGCCATCCAAACTTCAGGCTCTAAATTTAGTGTCTATATATGAGC